CTCAGCAGCAGCACCAGCCTCAGCAGCAGCAGCAGCAGCCTCAGCCTCAGCAGCAGCACCAGCCTCAGCAGCAGCAGCAGCAGCCGCAGCAGCAGCAGCAGCAGCCTCAGAAGCAGCAGCAGCAGCAGCAGCAGCAGCATCATCAGCAGCAGCCTCAGCAGCAGCCGCCACCTCCGCAGCAGCAGCAGCAGCAGCAGCATCATCAGCAGCAGCATCATCAGCAGCAGCAGCAGCAGCAGCATCATCAGCAGCAGCAGCAGCAGCAGCATCATCAGCAGCAGCCTCAGCAGCAGCCGCCACCTCCGCAGCAGCAGCAGCAGCAGCAGCATCATCAGCAGCAGCAGCAGCAGCCTCAGCCTCAGCAGCAGCACCAGCCTCAGCAGCAGCAGCCTCAGCCTCAGTCCCTGTGTGAGGAGGAACCCCAGCACATTAGTCATCAGAATCAGAATCACCCTCATGGTTCTGATAAGACTGTGGTTAGCAGTGGAGAGACAGAGGACAGGAGGTGAGGATGAAGATGACCTAGCTTTAAAAAAAGTCAGACAGTAGAAAGCTGTGAGAAGCTGAGAGAATGGTTCATTTTTCATGTCTGAAAACTCTCATCTGCAGATTGATGTTTGTTTCACCATAAAGAAGTCCATGGAGAAAATGCATGATTTTACAGCGTGGCACCACCAACCACACCATTAACATTAGTGGGTTATTCAGTGATATCTGTGTTCACACTCACATTTCAGATTGACCTCTGTGACATGAATTTGATGATGAAGCAGAAGACCCTCTGCTGAGAGGTAAAACTGATGGTTTTCTCTGTGGAGTTTGGTCCAGAGAGGTTGGTCACATTCCTATTCCTAATGACTATGTATATGTAGAAAAATCTGCACCTTCTCACTGGTAGGTTTGCAGTATTTTTTTTTTTTTTGATTGAAGAATAATGTTTGAAATCGACCTATTCTCCAATACCAGAGTCTGTGGAGAAAACCAGTGTTTTGAACTTTAACAGCACACAGGCCTGTAGTTGATTCACTGCTGCCTCAGGCCCTGGACTCCAGTGCATTGTTTGCAGTGTTGTTGAAATATATTGGTTGGGATTTACCTGAGTGCCACGCGTGGAGCGTAGGAGACGTGACTGCAGCGGCCGCTCCTGTGTGCCACGGCAGCTTAAACCACTCCTTTTCTCTATGGACTTTGGTATAGACCAGTAAAAACCACAGAAAAACAGCTTAAATAACAAGGCATAAAACAGGGGGATATCTGTGCATTTCTCAAACTTAGTTTCCCCCTGACTCC